AGCTGCGCTAGAGAGTATTTGGGGCACTTAAGTCTCTTTCGATATTTAATACCAATCCTCCTCGAACTCTTAGAAGACCTGTATTGACGAGCCAGTTTTCTTGTTGACATTTCAACCTGACTTTTTGCTCTTCTCTACAGTCTCTCTGATCTCAGTACAGTGAATGCATTTGGTCTTCCACTTTCGACCGGTTTTAGCTTTGGGTGGGTGCAACCAACGTGTAGATACTGTTTGTTATTTCTGATTTTTACGACATCTTGAAGCAGAAACTTCAAACTAAATAAATTTTAACTGACGGTAAACAAACTTTTGTTCCGAAGGCTACTTGATATTATTTAGTGCCAAAACTTTTAGGACACGTTATTATAAAAAGGTTAAAGATATTTCGTTGGTTAAATGTTTGAAGTTACCAACATATAAAATTCGAGGAAAATACACAATATACTTTAAACTTGATGATCCATACTCATATCAGATATTCTGTGACCTTAGAGCCAAATCAGAAATCTTAATTAAGGAAAACCTGGATAAATACATAACAATGATGGAAAACAATACATTGAACGACAGCCGATACTTTTGGAAATACGTTTCAAGTAAGAAAAAATGTCATGTCTACCTAGTTCTATAAATCATTCAAACTATGAAGTTAAAACCGGAAGTGGGGTGTGTAATGCCTTTGCTGATTTCTTTGCAAGTGCATATGTTAAATCTAAACATTTTTATTTAAACAAGGATGCTGGTCCTATTGATGTTACCTTAATATCCATTGAAAAAATATATCAACAAATAGTGTCCTTAGAAATTAAAAAATCAGTAGGCCCTGACGGCATACCTTCTGTATTTATAAAAAACTGTTCCGCTAGCTTATGTTTACCACTTCACCTAATTTTCAAACTATCATTAACTCAAAGAGTCTTTCCAATAAGGTGAAATATTGCCTATTCATAAAGGAGGCGATAGACATCTTGTGGAAAATTATCGACCTATCACTAAACTTTGTATTTTCTCAAAAATGTTTGAAAAGCTGATTTATGATGCTATCTTGAACATTACAAAAAATATCATTACGGCACACCAGCATGGATTTTTCCCTAAAAGATCTGTAGAGACGAATTTGATGAGTTTTATAGAATATGCCTCTCACGCAATAGATGAGAAACTGCAGGTGGATGTTGTTTATACCGACTTCAGTAAGGCTTTCGACAAGATTGATCATTCTATCTTGATGGAGAGACTTGCTGAGGTGGGTGTAGATGGTCCATTATGGCAGTGGCTAGCATCGTATATAAGTAATCGTAAACAAGTGGTAACTATCAATGGGTATCGTTCGGAGACATTCTTAGTAACTTCAGGCGTACCACAAGGTAGTCACTTAGGACCATTGTTATTTAACATATACATGAACAACCTTACTTCTGTTTTTCATTTCAGTAAATATTTGTTATATGCTGATGATCTAAAGATATTTACTATTGTTAGAAATGTAAATTACGGTGTAGAACTTCAAAGCGATTTGGAATCTCTGCAAAAGTATTGCACTGAAAACAGTATCTTCCTGAATTTAACAAAATGTCATTACATGAGGCTTACTAGAAACATAGCGAACACTATAGATTTCAGATATAAGATAGGGACGGCAGAACTGGAAAAGCTTCATGTAGTAAAAGACCTAGGGATATACATTGATGAGAATCTCTCATTCATCACCCACGTAGAGCACATCGTAAATGATGCAAATAGGGTTCATAAACAGGACATGCAGAGAATTTACGAACCCAAAAACGCTTCTTTCATTGTACTACGCTTATATACACAACAAACTGATGTTTGCATCAGTAATATGGAATCCGTCTTACAATGTACATATAGTCAGGATAGAAATAATTCAACACAAATTTTTGAAGATGTTAGCACATAAAACTCACCAACCTGTTACAGATCATCATTATACGCAAATTATGAAACAATTCAATATGATTTCCTTAAAAGATAGAAGAACGATTTCTGACATTTGCTGTGTTCATAAATTGTTGAATGGCCTCACTGACTGTCCGGATCTTTTGGCAAACTTGAACTTTAACACTCCTGATAGAACGTTTAGAACCTATCATCTGTTTAGAATACCGTTCCGTAGAACTAATTCAGGGCTCAAAAAATCATAATAATTTCTGTAATATAGATTTATTTAACATTAGCTTGACCTTCCTGAAAAAGGCTTTAAAGTATGAGTATTACAGCTCTATGGCAGACTAAAATAGAAATGTTTTATTTTTTTACATAACTCAAGTTATCACCTCCAATATCATTTCTGGTATAATTTCAATTTAATTTTGATGTCAGTTTTAATTAAACGTAAGTAAATGTTAAATTATGTATACTCCTTTTATTAAAGAAGTTAAATTAATATTTTATTGCTTTTAATTAGAACTACTCACTCAATTTATGTTGTTACAACAATATCGGAGGATAAAAAATATTAATATTGAAGTATTCAATAATGTAATATATCTATATGTATACGATATTTTATGTAAGTTTAGTTTTAGTTCGCTGAGGGTGTGTGTAAACACCCCAAACTGTATATAAATTAATAAATAAATAAATAAGTTCCTAAGGGTAACTGAACCGGAGAAACCTTTATTCCATATTGCTCGATATTAGCGATTATAATTCGATTCTATTAAATAAAGCGCGGCTGATAATGGGCCGTATTCATAAAAGAGACGCATATCCTCGGAAGCATAAGGTAAAAGTATAAGGTCTTGCTTCGGAGAAAAAGGTAGAAGTATAAGCATATCCTTGTTTTCATATTCATAATGATTACCTTATACTCGCGAGGATTTCCTCCAAGAAGATGTAAAAGGTTGACTGGTATTTGTGTCTTGAGCGACATGTCCTGACTTATTCCAGCTTGTAGTTGACTCTGCATCACTGACAGTTGTACTCCAGAGCCTACACAGACCGTTCCGTATTTTTACTGGATACAGTTTTTCATCAAATTAATAAGCATGTCATCCTCAAGTGATGAGGAAACTATAGAAAATAATAGCAACGACATGCAATTCATCGCAGATGAAATTGCCATTGCTCCCATAATTTTGCAAAAGTCACAAGTTCCAAAAATAAAAATGAGAAAGGACGATGCCTTGAAGAAGATGTTTAAAAAATACGAATCAACATTCGGTAAACCATTAGATACTAAAGGCTTGTTAAGAAAAATCAACAACATGAAACCAAGAGTGAAGAAAAAACCGATCTAAAAAAACTGGTAATAAAGTAATTAAATTGTTAGATTGGGAAAGAAAGTTGCTGAAAGCTATGGAAGGTGACTGTAATCCTGCAATTGGGAAAATTAGAGGTGCCATTCAGGTTGGTAGTGTTCAAGAAGAAGGAAGTTAACTATATACCGAGCGTATTGAGCAAACACTTACTATTACAGAGCCAGCAATTCAGGGGACATTGCCACCAAAAGAAAATTAGCAACAGAGAAATACGAAACTGACGAAACCAAAGGAATAACTACAAAAGAACTGCAACGTCTAGTGCTATTACAGCAGTAGCAAACAAGTATTTTACAACAAGAGTATTGTAAAACAAAATTAGAAATGATGCAGCGTCAGAAGCCATCTGTAACTTATGATGTTCACGAAACTAAAACTTATTATAACTTATAAATACACTTTAATCAGAAAAACTATTTATTATAATACTCAAGTTTCATCTTATTTGTTGACCTAGTTGGCGAAGAGGAAGTTTGTCATTCTCATGATTTCGTTCGTCTTCATTTGGATCTTGTTCAACGAACTCAAAGTCAGGATCACCCAAGTTCGTCACACCATTATGGAGTACAATACAAGCAATAATTATTTTCGGCACATTTTCCAACTTTACGCGGCAAAGATACTGTAGGATAGGAAACCGGCGTTTCAGTTGGCCGAAACAGCGTTCAATTATAACTCTTTCTTGTTTTAAAAACTTATTATAATTTATTTCTGCACCTGGAGTAGGATTTCTGAAGGAAATCAAAGGCATGGCTCAATACCATAACCGTTATCGCCAAGTAGTACAACATTTGCTTTATGTATTAGTTGTGATCTAGTCTGTGAATTTATCCATATTCTGGAATCATGCACTGATCCAGGCCAACTGACCTCAACACTTGTGAACATCTCTCTGACATCACAAGTGGCTTGCACATTTAAAGTAGGTTTCTTTTTTCGGTTGATATACTGATCCCCATGGCGATTTGGTTTCAGGATTCCTATATGTGTACAATCAATTACACCAATTGATGTTGGAAATTTATACATGCTTTGCTATATCCGCTTGGCCTCCATCAGTTCATGGTTGGTAGTTGGAAACTTGATCCATTCGTTCGACTGTGCAATTATGCTGTTCACAACTCTGTCCACTGTCCGAGATACCGTTGCTTGACTAACACCAAGTCCCTGACTAATACCTTGTTGATGAAAAATCTGTCCTCAAGCCATTGTACATTTGCTTCGTCGAATCGATGTAAGTTTTTGAAATCACGACTAAGTAAAGGTAAACGAAATTTGTACGTTTTAACATCCCTAACATCCACAATTTCCGCCATCATCGTTTGACCACCTTTCGTCTAGTAAGTTGAATCTGCTACTGACCACACTCAGAATTTTTGAGGGATATGCTTCCTATGCCAACTACAAGGTGAAGATTATGAATATTCTTTTACTTATGTCAGTGCTTTAAAGGATATGCTTATACTCAAAAAGCAAAAGCACTTACTTCAAATTATTATAAATACCATGTGGAGGTTTTCCTTCAAAATTTGCAAGTGCAAGGACATCCTTTGTTTTATGTCATGATTAAAATAAAGACGATGGATAAACTCATTCGCTTTCTGGTGTACAAACAGGTGGCTGTCGATGACTGCCCCGTAGCTGTCGATGACTGCCCCGTAGCTGTCCTTGGCTGTATTTTTTGAACCTTGAATAAAAACGCTTTCTTTTTTTCAGGACCGTGCCCGCGACGAGTCGCAGCGATTGTCTTCAACCACCACCCTTACAGTCAACATTAAGGACGACGACGATCTGCCTCCATCGTTTATCTACAAGGGGTGCATGTTGTTGGATGGAACTTGTATCAATCCTGAATACACCGCGTCGGTAAGCTAAAGACACACTATTTATGTATCATGATCGGCCAAGATCACAATCGCAATGTCTCTTTGAGTATCTCGTAAATCCTCTCGCTGAGTTCCTCGAAGTTGAATCATCATCCATTCAATACGTCTTAATGGAAGAGTTTTACGTATTGCGAAACTGTACTTTCATCACGATCATTTCACAGTTGGTAATAAAATGTTCTAGTCGAATGCAAGAAAACTTGATTGTACTCTGAAATACGCCACTGAGGTCGAGGCCGAAATGTTAATAATGAAGCAATGCTACACGTAGCGGCCGCAGTTTTATAAGCAAACTCGCCTTCTGTAATTTGTACTATAATCTAGATGCAGTTTTGAATTTTTTCAACTGCCAACTCTTCTGAGGTTAAGTCGATTATTTGCATCTTTTACGAAATGTTACTAGTTTTCAGTGCTTTAAGGCAGTGATCGCCAGTCGGTCGATCGCGAGCTACCGGTAGCTCGCAAAGGCAGTTCTGGTGGCTTACAACTTATTTTAAAAAGGTGTAAAAATCATAAGAGCTTCCGTAAATTTTGTAAATTCTCATAACAAACATAAGCAGCGGCAACACTGCGGTGAGCGATCTGTTCGAGAACGATCTCGATTACTTTGATAGGAATAAATATGCAAGGCGCGGCGACAGTGCGCTCAGTTTAAAACTGAACGGCAGAAAGTCCAGCGGTTGGGTTAGAGTTGGCCTGCAATTAAAAACATTATGAGCAGTAGTAAGAAGATGAAGACATACCATTTCCATTCTGAATGGGAAGAACAATATTTCTTTACAGAAGTTGAAGTTAAAAATGTATTTTTGTTACGTAAAACATCTGTTTCCGTTGCTAAAAAAAAGGAAATATCGAGAGGCAGTATAAAACTGTACATTCGGATTTTGAAAAATTACGTTCTGCAACTAGAACGGAAAAAATGAAACAATTAAAAAAACAGTTAATTGGATAACAGGCAATGTTTTTAACAACAATCGACAAAAGTAAGGTTGCAACTGAGCATCATACCGGGTGTCCCAGATAATTACACAAGAGAAAAACCTAAAGAAGACGGGGAAATGATAAAACAGGCGTTTTTAGAATCTGCAGATTCATTAATTTCCAACTTTAGAAATGAATACGAGATAGTGTCTGCTAAAAAAGCTATGCAACTTTCTGCTAATACAGTAATGAGACGAGTAGAAGTAATGTGCAATGGTATACTAAGTGACATATAAATCCGAACACCCAGTTTAAATGGTTTTATTTTAATAAAATTTTGTATAAGTACTTAATGAAGCATAATAAGTAAATGATAAAAATTTCAAAATGATTGCACTGCTTTAAAGCCCTTTGACCTTTAATAATGTGTGGATGCACCCTGATGTGCTACGCATTCTCCAACGCGCCTAGGCATGCTTCTGATCAGGTGGTCAATGTCCTCCTGTGGTATCTCATTCCAGGCAACCACCAACCCCTCTCGAAGTGCTTCTAGAGTCTGAGAAGGACGTTGCAAATTGAGCAATCTCCTACCCATCATATCCCACACGTGCTCAATTGGGGATAAGTCGGGAGATCTTGGTGGCCATGGTAACAATGTGACATCATTATGTTGAAAGAAGTCTATTGTGACTCTTGCAACATGTGGTCGGGCATTATCTTGTGAGAAAGTTGGATCTGCCAGGGTGTCAAGATAGGGTAAAAGATGGGGTTCTAGAACTTCGTGGATATAACGCTGCGCGTTCATGTTACCTCTGATGAAGATTAAAGGTGACCTGGAACCATAAGCTATAGCACCCCAAACCATAACTCCAACAGTGTGATGAACATATCTTTCAACAAAAAACTGTGGATTCCTCCTTTCACCACGTCGCCTTCTAACCCTGGCACGACCATCGTGCATGGCTAAACAAAATCGAGACTCGTCACTAAAGACAATACTGTTCCATTCCTGATCCCAGAGTGACCGTTGTCTACACCACTCAAGGCGATTACGTCGGTCTTCTCGAGTTAAAGGGAGGACCCAGTGTGGTCGGTTTGAAAACAAGCCAAAACTTCTCAATCGTCGGTAAACACTTCGCATGCCAATAGATCTTCCGTGTTCTGCAAACCATTCATTTGCAATGGACCTGGTAGTGGAGAAACGGTCCCTTAAGGCCAATAATTTTAGGCGACGATCTTCACGGTCTGTTGTTCCACGGCGGCGTCGAGCGCCCCTTGCTCTTTGCGTACGGCCTTCTCGAAGCCATGCCTGACAACACCTAACCACAGTGTCTACACTTCTTTGCACTCTAACTGCAATTGCCCGAAAAGGAAGTCCAGCTTCCCGAAGTCCCACTATACGGCCCCTGTCAAAATCACTACTTTGACGAAATCGTACAGGTCTCCGTACTCTAGGCATCGTAACCGAACGTAAAGGATGTCAAGAACCAAAATCCGCCAACGTTGATTCTTTACTGCGGCTGAAATATTCATTTTTAGAGCGTTAGTGAATTAAAAAAAACAGTATAAAAACCGGAATGTCCAACTGATAAGGCTGAAAATTTTTTCACTTGTTATTTACAGTAAGATAAATACATTCACCAACTTTTATTAAAATAAAACCATTTATACTGGGTGTTCGGATTTATATGTCACTTAGTATATCTTTTTACAGTCAAGAAATGACTTCGATAACAGTGCTTATTTTTGAATGAATCCACAGATGTCGTTGACACCTCCCAGATGGCCGTGTTCAAAAGGATGATTCTTAGTGATTTTGCGATTAAAGAGGATCTTTTGAAGTTTGTTCCACTAAGCGGACAGAATAGTGGGCACGACTTGTTTTCTTCTATTAAAAATATTTCTTCTGAGAAAATTCCAATATCGAAAATGGTAGGCTTGACAACCGATGGCGCTCCGGCTATGGTGGGTCGTGACGAGCATCTCGTGGGGTTATGTCGTAAAGATGGAAGAAAGTTTTCCGCAATTTCTCTATTACCACTGCATTATCCATCAGCAAGCATTATGTGGACATACTCTAAAACTAAACAACGTTATGAAATTGGTAGTAAAAATAATGATAATAATAATAATAATAATGATAATAATCCGGCTTTATTTATACAAAGCATAAAAAGGCGAAGTATCGTTAAAAAGCGTTTTTCAACTTAACCCAACAAATACTTGTGTAAATTTTCTAATCCCAATGAAAACAAAAAAAGTTAAAAGAAACCTGTAACGAGTCCCTATTCATGACCATGGTCTACTTACTGGGCAATGAAATCAGAGATAAAATGCTTCAATCATTTCTTGAAATTTTTTATAGAGTAGTAGGTACATCAGAGTAGTTTGTACTACTTTCAGAAGAAATTTGACTAAAATAATTCACTTAATAAGTAAATGCTTTTCTTCACTACGCCCATGGTTTGTTTATATATAATTTAAAATCAGAATCGTCGGCGGTACATTGCGAATAGGTTGATGTTCCAACAGGATGGTGCCCCACCACATTACGCATTACGTGTTCGACAATTTTTAGATCAGACGTTTCCTATTCATGACCATGGTCTACTTACTGGGCAATGAAATCAGAGATAAGATGCTTCAATCTTTTCTTGAAATTCTTTATAGAGTAGTAGGCACATCAGAGTAGTTTGTACTACTTTCAGAAGAAATTTGACTAAAATAATTCACTTAATAAGTAAATGCTTTTCTTCACTACGCCATTGGTTTGTTTATATATAATTTAAAATCAGAATCGTCGGCGGTACATTGCGAATAGGTTGATGTTCCAACAGGATGGTGCCCCACCACATTACGCATTACGTGTTCGACAATTTTTAGATCAGACGTTTCCAGATCGATGTATTGGTAGAAGAGGTGAGGTGCCATTGAATGGCCCCCAAGATCGCCAGTTTTATCACCTTTGGATTCTTTATGTGGGGTCATTTAAAATGCAAAATCTATGATACTCAGCCAACATCATTAGAATACCTGCGACAAAGAATTGTGAATGAGTGCCTTCAAATTACTCCTTAAATAATGCAAAATGTGCGGCAATGTTTTGAGCAAAGTCTTTATTATTGCATGGAGCGTCATGGTGGCCATTTTTAACATTTACTTGCCTAACAGGTCATTCATTCTTCATTTTTAAATTACTTTGCTTCCAAATGTATTGATCTCCACTAATGATGTATTGGTTTTATTTAAGCTTTAAATCAATAAATCTCCAAAACTACTGAACTGAGGTACATTAATTTTATATCATTATAAAGGGAATTGAAAGACCTTTAAAATAAGGTATCACTCGACCTCCCTTTCCATTTTAGATTTTGGGGGTGGTGTCACCCCCGCTTAGGGGGCTGCACGAGATAACGTGATTTTTGCCAAACTTGTGACCCCCTCGAAAATAAAATCGACGGGTCTGAGCGTTTTTCCAAAAAAACTGAGCTGCCAGTAAATGCGTCTGTTTCGTTTTCGATGTGCCACACCTTTTAAATAGAGATGTTGAATGTCTCGGGATAACCAAGATATGCTTATTCTTTGTGTTCAGTTGATTAACATCTGGATATCTGATAAATTTGGTTGATAGATATAGAGGGGCTTGTGCAGTGATTACTTTATGGGTCAAGGTCAATTGTGAACAAGATTAAAGCTCAAGCGTTACAAAGACGATAATTCAAGACTTGGCCGATGAAATTGACTGTGAATACGGGAAACTTTACTTCTTCACTCTGAAGTTCGATGGTTAAGTAGGGGACAAGTACTGAAACGTTGTAATGATGTCTGCCATAGTTCAATTTTTCAAAAAACGCGATGAATCGATTCCGGAGCTGTTAAATTCAATCTGGCTGAGAGATTCTTGTTTGCTTATGGATATTACATTAATGAACTTTAATTTGTAGCTTCAGGGGAGATGCAAAGAACTAGCAAAAAAGATTTCTGATATAAAAGCGTTCATCAAAAGCTTGAGTTTTGGGAACAGGACTTACAAGGCATTTCCCTGTTCTTTCAGAAAAG